GTGGGCTAATTACCTCTCTGGGTCTCTGTTTTCTTGAGAATCTGTGAGATGAGGACAATGAAAGCACCTATATCATGGAATTAAATATACCGAAGATTTTAAAAGGTGGCACATACTTTGAATAAATGGGAGAAATTAATGTGTGTTTTGGAATCCTCATAGTATCTTGCACAGGGAGAACCCCTACAAACATCTGTGGATTGACTGACTGGAATAAAGCTTTATGGGAAAACTTGCTCCCTGGAAAACCTAAAAGAGTCTTCAAATGACAGGCCTGGATTTTCAATACTAAACTCAGACTCAAAGAAAGAAAGAAAAAGAACATAAAATATGCAGGCAAGGGAACATGAAGAAAATATGTACTTGACATTCTAAAGAAGATGTGATACACACACACACACACACACACACACACGCACACGCACAATGGAATATTACTCAGCCATGAAAAAGAATGAAATAATGCCATTTGCAGCAACATGGACAGATCTAGAGATGATCATGCTAAGTGAAGTAAGCCAGACGAAGAGAAATATCATACGATATCACTTATATGTGGAACCTAAAAAGAAAATGATACAAAGGAACTAATATACAAAACAGAAACAGAACCACAGACATAGAAAAATATGTAAGGTTACCAAAAGGGAAAGAGGAGGGAGGGATAAATCAGGAGTTTGGGATTAACATATACACACTACTATATATAAAATAGATAACCAACAAGGACCTACTCTATAGCACAGGGAACTCTACTCAATATTTTATAATAACTTCTAAGGGAAAAAATCTGAAAAAGAATATATATATATAATATGTATATGATATATATATATAATGTATAGCTGAATCACTGTGCTATACACCTAAAACTAACACAAAGTTATAAATCAACTATGCTTCAATAAAAAATAGATTTTTTTAAAAGAAATTCTATTAATAGACACTCCAGAGAGACAGACCAGCAGAGCAGCAGTATTGGGGACAGAGCATAACGTCTTCCAGAAACTTTGAAAATAGGAGTTAGGGGGTAGAGATCCTCAGATTGAAAAGTTATACCAAGTACTAATTGGTATACACTGGAGGAAAAAAAAAAAATCCCCACTTAGACACTTGCTACTGAAACTTCAGACCATCAGCAATAAGGAGAAAACTCCTAAAGCACCAGAGAGAAAAGACAAATTACCAAGGCAGGAAGGGCAGTCGGTCTTAGACAAGATTTTCCCCAGCAGTAACCGACATCAGGAGAGAATGACATAACATCTTCAATCAACTGCGGGAATACAGCTGTCAACATAAATTCTATCCCCAGCCAAACTGTCATCTATAAATTCCAACATAAAGACATTTCAGATGGACAAGGACACAGAAAATTCACTACTCATGGAGTTCTCTGTAGCAGGGGTTGGCAAGCGGTAGCCCACTGGCCCACTGACTGTTTTGGCACACAAAGTTTTATTGGAACGCAGCCAAGCCAGTTCATATATTCATATACACATTATCTAGGGTTGCTTTCCAGTTACAACAGCAGAGTAGCTGCCACAGACACTGTATAGTCCAGACAGCCAAGGATATTTACGCTCTGGTTCTTTACAGGAACATTTTGCTGATCCCTGCTCCACAGGACTCAGTATTTACATGTGTATCTATTCATCCAACATATACTTGCTAAGCCTCCGCCGTGTGTGCCAGACCCAACCACGGTAAGATGAAGGATGGCAGGTTCCTGGTCCAGGCAGACGGAAGCTTAGCAAGGGCTGTGCTGGATAGCCACCCCTCTTTTCTGGGAGGTGGAGCCCACAGGTGTGTCTGAAAACAGCAAAACAGAAATCTGTCTCGACAGAGACATCTCAGCCCCCTTTGAATCTCATGTTTCAGACAGGGAGCTGGTATGGTACCCTGAGATAGTTCAAGGGTCACAGAGTTGGCTTTGGTTCCTTGTGTCACGGACCTGGTCATGAATTCCTCATCCCTCTCACTTGCCGTCTGTCCACATCTGCTCTCTCTGACTGTGCCCTGATGCACAGCTGATGCTAGAACAGCCCAAGTTTCCTGGCCTTCCCCCTGCACAGCATCCCACCTGGTCCTTCTCCAAGCCTCTGCTCAGGCTCTGCCCATCACTTGGGGTGCCCCCTTCCTCCATTGCCTGGCTTGGCTTTCTCATCTCCTCCAAGAAGTCTTCCCCACGCCCAGGCTGGGTCAGTACCCGCTTCTTCATCCCGATATACGTTGCATCATAAGCACCTCGGGAGTGCCGTCTATTGTGGCGCTGTGTCCAGGTGGGTTCTCTCTCCACCCCCTTTCTGGGGCTGAGATACATCTAATGCCACGATAGACAAAGGGGACATCTGCTACGAGACTCACTGTGGAGGAAGAGGCGGAAACCCTTGGCTATGAATGCCCCTCATGAAACGAACAGAGAACAGAGCTCTAGGGAAAGACCTGACGTTTCTGCAGGTGGTGCTGTGCGGGGAGCCAATACCGGCCAGCCTGGACCCTGGTGGTTCTTGCCAATCGTGTAGATAAATAGGAATTGATGTAGAGTAGCTCCATGACGGAGGTCTGTTCAAACAAAGACGGGAGAGGAGAAGGGAGGAAGGAAGGAGGGGAGGCAACAAGCTCGTGTTTGACAGACGAACCCCTCCTCCCCGCCCCGGTCCCATGGGATTCTTTCCCTCTGTCACAAATTCTTGATCCCTCTGCCTCTTCCGTTTCTCGCCCACCTCTTGTCATTTACTCAGCGCCTCATTCCGGAATGCTGGAAGGATTAATGAGACACGCGTGGCAGAAGGGTGCTCACGTTTATTCACTCCGGCCCCCCACTGTTATTAATTCTTACAATTTCCCTGCACTAAATACCACTCAGATCTCAACAGTTCTGAGCTTTCCTGCCAGCTAAGAGACAAGAAATCACATATTCAGGTGACGGAAGGACCCAAGTGGATTTATAATGGTGTGAATAACAGGTAGCTTGATTTACTAAAGCTTCGAGATACTTAAGAATTCATATAAAAGGATTTGGGGATTTTGAGAATACATGTCTTCCAGGGGTGGGGATGGGGGTAATTGACTATCCTGACAATTTCTATAAGTCAAATTCTATTACTCTGAGGAACATTCACAGATGTGCTTCCGTGAGAAACTTCTAAGTAAAAATAGGAACTCGGGACTAGTTCAGGGCAAACTTTGAAGACTGTATCTTTGCCTTGTGTGAGTTTAGGATTCAAAAAGTTGTCTATATACTTGTTTCTTTCCACTTGGCCTCCCAATAAGGCTGTGTGGTAGGCAGGGGCCAGTGATCACATCCATTTATAAACGAGGAAAGTGAGGCTCAGTTTAAGGTTGGTTCCCCTCGGGGATTTGGTGGCAAAGCCAGGTCTCCAGACGGAACAGCCCCTTCCACTGGGCTTCCCCGGCCTGCAAACTGGGCAGGTGACAGACCCGTGCCTAGAAAGGCCCCCAGCTTGGTTCTACTGTTGCCGTTTTGAAATTCTCAATAATTTTGACCCAGCGTTACCGAACCAGGTTCATTTTGCCCGACGCACAAGCGAAAATGCTAAGACTCGAAGGTCTGCAGCAAAGAAAGAGTTTACTCACGTGGCAGCCAAGCGAGGGGATGGGACACCAAGTCCCGGACGCCCCTTCTTGAAGGCAAGGGGCTTGGGGTATTTGGGGATGAAGAAGCAGGGTGGTCTGAGGCGTGGGGGCCGTGAGCAGCGTGGAGAAGGTGCTTGGAAAAAGGTGCAGTAATTGTCATTCTGCACAGATGTAACCAAGCTTCAGGCCTCTGCACGTTAAAACATGGAGGTGCTTAGCACAATCGGAGGGTGGAGACTTGAGCCCTCTGACGTCAAAAGGTCACCGAGCAGACACTCACACATGCCCAGTTGGAGGGCTGGTGGTCTTATCCAGTCTTAACTGGCTCCGCTTGAACTAGACACAGCTGACTCCAAGTTCTTGGAAAACAACTTGGACAAATTTATTCTTTAGGCTACTTGCCCCTTGGAGGACAAGCACGTTTTTTGTAGCAACAATTAAAACGACCTTGATGGTGAAAGCAGGGTACAGGTGTAATGGATTCAATTAATGATCACCCACGGTTTCACCAAGAGTCCTGCATTTGCATTTTGCACGGGGCCCTGTAAATCCTGTAGCCCATCCTACCCACAGTTCGTCGGGCTCCCCTTCTATTCCTCCATCCGGATGCCAGACACGCCCACCACCCTGGGGCTTTGCTCTCCCAGCTCCTGGGACTCCTCGGCCCTCCTCCTTCTCTCTGGATCTGCAGCAGCTAAAAGTGCTGAGGGTCCGGGAGGAGCACCCCCCCGTGCACACTGGCAGCTCCTCCTGCGCGGCTTCACATCCTACAGGATAAATCAGTACCCAACTCTATCAGTTCATCAAAGTCAAAATTCTCTAAAATGTGTTTAATTAAAACAAGAGTCTCTTGGGCTTTCTCAGATTAGACGTGATCAAACCCACCCAGAATACTGGATTTCTCTTGGCGTTTAGGCTGGGTCTCTTTGTCCAATTCCCTGCCTCTGATGGTCTCCAATTCTTGACTCAAAAGGGAGAGAGGGAGGGAGGGAGAGAGGGAGCCCATCGGAAAGGCTGCAAAGGTCCACTGTTGGCTGTTGGCTATGACCGTCCTCTCCCTGGAATCCTGCCCAGCACGTGTCCGTGCCTCTGGGGACAGAAGACAAAGCTATGCATCGCTACGAAGGTGACCAGGATGGTGCCCGGGGAAGGAGCCAACGCTCTCCCCAGATTTATCTCTTCCCAACCACCCCGAATGTTCTATCTTCCTTGGGTGGTCTCCAGATCCCGCTCCTTCCTTAAAATTCAAGCAGCCCCCTCACCCATCTTGCTCCATAATTGACTTTAGAGGAATCTACTTCCTGAACGATAACTCTTTTCTGTCCTCTCCAGAGGTCCACGGAAAACTGACGTGTAACCATGCATATCACATCAGCGAGAAAAACCCACATCAGAGCAAACTTTGAGATTTTTTTTATTATGCATTTGACAGTATTTTCTGTGTTAGCACAATGAATGAATTTCTGAGATATCATCTTGCCACAGAGACAAACAGTGCACAGGTGTTTAAAAAATGTGCTTCAAGCCCTAAGGACTCTGAGTGGGACTCAGAGCACAAGCGAACATCTCTCTGTGTACAGGGGCTTTGCGTTGAACACACCCGCCACAAGGAGTTGACACAGAGAACAGTTTCACAATAAATAATTGCTTCTCTAAACTGTACCCCATCCTGCTGGCAAATCAGTCCCTTCCATTTCCTTGTGACACTCACTTTTATACCTGTAACGCTTAGGATATACTCATCGAAAATTTAGCATTTGGTCAGGGCTAGCACCCCGGCCGGCATCCACCATCACATCAGGACCTCGGCAGGCACTCAAAATGCCGGCTCTTATCTCTCTGCCGTCGGGGGAGGGGGCGGCCTCTCCCCATCCCCGTGGATGACTAAACACTGCATCAGCTTCAGACGCTCAGCAATCTCAGCGTGGCCGCTAGAGCACCGCTGAAAGAGATTGCGAACTGTCAGGTGTTACAATTCCCAGTTGTTGCCAATTACATAGATAAAGAGAGATTTACGTAACTTACAAAGCCTTTGTGTCTGCAGCTTATTTTCAAGCCATTCCCCCAAAGACCCACATTTCTTCCTGAAAACAAATATCACCTTAATAGCCTTGAGCTGGGGGTGCCTTTACAGTGGCTTCCAGGCAACTGGGTCTACTGCTCATCCTCTACCTGGGACGGGCACAGAGGTCTCTCTGCGGCTCGCCAGGGGGTTCAAAACACGCAGGTGTTAATTTCCTCCTCTTATCACAAACATCAAGGTTTCTTCTTTCTTTCTTTTCTTTCTTTCATTTATTTATTTTTTTGGAGATACATTCTTTTAGTGGCACCAAGCACAGCTGAAAATGCCTGTCTAAATCCTCTAAGCCTCAAACTCATCAAACCTGTACAGCTGTGATCCGCGTCTCGAGTTGACGCCCCGCGGCCTCAGTGGCTCACACCCCATGCCTGCCCCGTGTGAGGGCTCAGATGTCGGCATGCTCCTGCCAGGGCCTGCATCTGTTCCAACATGGACAAGGGTTTACATTTGCAAAGAGTTAGCTTGAAGTCCACTTGTTCTCCAAGAGAAGTGGCTTTGCAACGTGCCATACCTCTCCGCAAACAATTTCCTGCATGAAACCGGAGCCCTGGGCGTCGGGCCCCAGGGCACAGCTGGGATCGTTTTACCCATTAGGGAAACTGGGGTCTTTGGATGGGGCATTCTTGGGGAAGGGCTGTATTGTTAAGTGAGGACCCTTTGAGTGGGTTTTCTCCCCCAGGCAAAACTCATTTCTTGTCCTCAAAGAGGTGGAAATGTGAACCCAGCAGGAGCCAGAACTGAGGCCTTCCTGCTGCAGGACCCTCTCCCAGGGGGCTCCTGAAAGGGCAGGCAGAGCCCGGGAGGCGGGGAGGTCCACTCCCCAGGCAAGCATTTGATGGTGGAGGTCTAAAGCCTACTTGCTTTGTCCGGCCTTAACTTTAACCTATCTCGGAAAAGGGGGGGCAAAAGAAAAAAAAAAAAGAGGCCTGTTACAAAAGAAGAGCTCTCTGCTGGCTGAAAGAGGAGACGTCTCCCCAGCCTATCTCTAGCCCGTTCCCTGTTTTGAACGGAACCTCCTCGCCAGCGCTTCTAGGCAATTTCGGAGCCTGCCATCCACCTGGGAAGGTGTGAATACAATCATCGCTGCTGCCGTGGCCACGGTGAGTTCTCTCTCCCACGGTCTGCTCCCATCTTTGATGATCACGTGCTCAGGATGGCGGCAGCTTCCACGCTGAGAATGTCAATCTGGAGATTACTAACTTGAGTCTTGCAAGAAAGTAGGGACCGGGCTTATAAGGAAAGACTTTTTCTTCCCAAGTAAAACGTCTTACAGGAGCTTGACATGCATCGTAAAGACCTAGAAGAAGCACCTTTCCAGGCCCCAGTGGGACATCTGTGCCACCGTTCTCATTTCCTGAACATCCAACAGAATGATAACACCAACAGCAAAAGCAACCAGTGCTTTTTCTGTGCCGGCCTCTGCTGCCTTCCTAGAACACACCCAGCACAGCACATTCCTACCACAGGGCCTTTGCACTTACCCTTCCGCTGCCTGACATCCCCTTCCCTCTCTCATCCCTCTGGCTCACCCCTCCCCACTTCCTCCAGTTCTTTATGCCAATGTCACCTGGCCAGTGAGACCACCCCTGTCCACCCAAGCTGCAACCACCCCCAACACTTCCTGCCCCCAGCCTGCTTCCTGCTCTCCTTCATATGCCCCACTCTGTGTTTAATGTATTGGTTTGCTATCTTTTTCCCCCACTATTTAAGTGCCGGGAAGGCTGACCTTCTGCCTTATTCCCTGTGGTGTCCCCAGCATCTAGGACGGTGCCCTGCACATCACAGGTGCTCAACAAATCTTTGCTGAATTGAATAAATGCCACGATGGATGGTGGTTTTAATCATGTCCCTCCCTTGCTGAGAAGGGTTTGGTTTTGGGGTGAGGAAGAGGAGAAAAAGGAAGAAGAGGCAAAGTGGGGACCAGCTGGGGCCTAATTCATGCTCTCCTGGGGTCTGTCTCTGCCTCTCCTCTGCATTTTCATTGTGGATGCTGACAGAACCCTCTCCAGACGACTCAAAGCAATCTGCCACCAATTTGGAAAGCCTCCTGGATACTAAACAGGGTTTAATCCTCCCTTGATCAGACCCTGTAGGACCCCAAGCCGCCCCCCCCAGGCCATTACTATGAACATCAGTTACCATCCCCTTGTAGATGTGCAGGCGACTCAGTAATAACGATTTCTGATCGACTGAATGACAAATAAACCCCGTTGCGCTGCAGGAAACCCTCAGGATCATACAAAAAGACAAGTGCGTTTAAAAAAAAAAAATTCCTAAAATGAGCCGGGGGACTCAGAGGGCCTGGTGCCCAGCTGCTATAATTCACCTCTGTCCAGAATCAGCGGCTGAAAAGAAGAAATGATTCTTTTTGTAGAGACCACCAATTGTTATGGGAGCAGAGGGGCAACATGGGCACCGATAGATAAGCCTGCAGGGGCTCTGGGAAGCAGTGATCGGTGAGATTTGTCCAGACCTGGTGAAATCCAGGGCTGGACATCACTGCTCAAAAGCTACAGGGAGCTCAGGACTCAGCTCCTAAGACGCAGGGCAGGCTGTCCACAGCTTTAGGCTGTTCTGTCCCCAGGGGTAATCTACCAAAAGCACCATTGCCCGTGGATGCCCACCACACGCGGTGTTCCGCTGGCGGCCCGCACAGACCAGATGCGCCCCACACGTCCTCTGTGCCCCCCATATGGCAGCGACTCAGAAAGCAGCTTCACCTCCTCGGACACATGCCCCCGGCAGCACCGCCAGCCTGCTTTCCTGCTTCTTTGTCAGGTGTTTGTGCCGTCCTTGAATTCCTGTGGGGAGAGAGCTGGTTTGAATGAATCAACCCACATTTCCACACAGCTGGTTCTTCAGCATCCAGTTAGGAATGATTTCCTCTTCCCACTAACATGAGCGCGGTCCCCCAGGTCCACGTCTCAGGCACAATTTCTGAAGGCTGAGCACACGGTGGGTGGATTCCTACCAGAGTCCAGCCTCCACCCACACTACTCATTCATCAGATGTTAAGGAGCCAGGAAGAAAAATGTGGTTGGCGCTTCTGGACAGCAGATCCTGGGCCCCTGGCTACCACAGCACCTGCTGCATAGGAAGCCCCCCTGCCTGTGCGTTTCACTTGCTCAGGAAGCACCTGGAGGTCCCATCCCACCAGCGATGGCTCTTGGAAGAGGCTTTACAAGGCAGCTCTGCCTGGCGGGGTTGATGGGTCTTGGCCCAAAGTAAAGAAAAGGAGGAGCAAGGGGCATGAGTAGTAAAAACCAGCTTAAGTGGCTACACGGGTCGCACCTAGGGTCTGCTTGTTTATTCAAGTCCACACTGACTCACAAGCTTCTCTCCAGCAGTTAGAGCAGACTACAGGGTCTCAAACTCAGAGGCCTGGGGGGCCACCAAATAAGACGATGAGTGACACAGGTGAATGGACATTGCATGTCCCACTCGAACCTGAGTGGTCCTTATTTGGTTCCAGCCTATCCGGCCAAGAGGGGATGTGGGCTGGTGAGACCAGATGGTCCCATTTGCTACTTTTGGAGAAGCTTAAAATATGCATTTGTTGAGGAGGGGGGTGATTCTGCAATTTTAAAGTGTTGGCAACTTATTCAAATTTTGGCAAATTGCTGTGCAATCCAGAAGAAATACATCTGGAGGCCAGACGGGGCCGTGGCCGTGTTAAAGGCCTTGATTTGAAAGGTATTGAAGGGACGGGGCTGCTGCACCCTCTGTGCGCAGCCCGCGCCCCCCCCCCCCGCCCCCACACTCACCCACCCCCGCCTGCAGGACCGCATCGGGTGGAACAGGCAGTGCCCTGCGGCACCCACATGGCCCAGGGCAACCGATCTCTGGAAATGCAGAAAGCCAGGGAGGGGGCTCGTACCCGCGGGCAGCCGGGGTCCGGGGAGGGGCTCGTACCCGCGGGCAGCCGGGGTCCGGGGAGGGGCTCGTACCCGCGGGCAGCCGGGGTCCAGGTGCAGAAATGCACGCAGGCGGCGTCCTCGCTCTCTGCACAGGCGCAGCGCGGCGTCCCCTTCGACGGCTGTGAGCTCCGCGGAAAGGTGCCGGCCGACCTCCTGCCCCGGAAGCTGCCTCTGTAGTTGGACAGCCCATAGGGCACAGTCCGTCTGCAAAGGACAGAGAAAGGTTCGAGAACTGGTATCCACACCCTCCCCTGCACCTTGGGCCTTGGGAAACCTCTGGAGTGAATCCGTCATCCCCGCTACCCCGTACTCCCCAGGCAGTGGGCTGGGGCAGCCGGGATGGAAAGATGGGGAGGCCCTTGGGGAGATGGACGATGGCCTCTCTACATCCTCCCAGCAGCCAGCCCTCTTGCGGAGGGAGCAAGCAGACACCGGGTGGATGCGTTTTTAGTCTTTTGAAGACCCAACTGTGGCCAGCACGCCTCCCAGCCCGGGTCCTTCCAGGGCAGTTCTGGTTTTCCTTCCAGCACTCAAACCCCTGACATTGACATTCCCGCTGCCCTGAACACTGGTCCCAGCTTTCATCCTTGAGCCAGTGGCACCTGAGCCTGGCCATCCAGACCAGTAAGACGCCTTCCAGACCCGCAGCCCAAGGCCGGCCCTGGCTCCCACCCTGCTGGCCACCAAATTTCTTCTGTGCGCACATCATGTTTATAGTCTGTATTAACTGGAATAGGACAAATCCAATTACGGCCGTTAGAGACATATGCTGGCCCCTGAACACAGCTTCCTCAAAGCCACAAACGTCAGGGGAACCCTCTGTGCCCTGTGAGATTCAGCCGAGGACAGAACTGACCTTGGGAAAAGTCTTCTTATGAAACTATTTACCCATTTCATTTACGGTTGGAGCTGGGATGAGGGTGACGGTGTCATTTGAAACAATAAATGTTTACATCTGTTTCTGATGCTCGTGTCCATCCAAACCATTGCTCTCCAGGGATGGGAGGCCACTGCCAGGCAATTCAGTGGGAAAAAGTTAAAAGCATAAGCTTAATTCATTAGCACTACTGAACAGGATTTGGGGGACAGATTACTAATAACTAGAGGAAACACGTGTGGCCAAAAGTTGCTTTTCCAATAAGGCTTGGTTTTCCTGCTAGTTCCCAAGACCAACCACCTTGGCTTCTGTGAGCCCCATGGAGTCTCACCAATCATCCACCTCAAAGGGGGCTCTGACATTCTCTGTGCATTTTCAAAATAGCATCAAATTGAATTTCCTTTAATTTGAAACACATGCCATGGAGCCTTTCTGGGGTGGTGAGGGCAAAGTTGGGGGGGGGTGCCCCATCGTGACCTAATGCTTGGAATGGACCTGCTCCCTGCTGGGCAGGAGACTGGAGCTAAGAACATAACCCCATAACCCCACCCTCTCTTTTCCCCTCTCCCCACTCCCTCCCACCCAAGTGAGTTGAGAAATGGCCTTGTATGGCTTCCCTGGATCCAAGCAGGCCCAGTACTGAGCAGTCTGTGCTCACAGGATGGAGAAAGCAAGCGGGGGCCAGTCCCCTTCTGAGCTGAACCTTGGCTAAAACCCCATCTTTTCTCAGGAATGGGAAATAGGGGTGGGGGTGAGGTTGCAAAACAATACAGACATTGTGGTGAGGCAGGATTTGGCTAAAGGTATAGATTTCCAGTAACAGGGCCACATTAAATCTCTAGGTGTTGACATTAAACCCACACCCCCGTTTCTTGGTGAAAATTACACACAAGGAATAACAACCAAGGCTCCCATTTTTCCATCAACAGCAAGACCTGCAATTCTGAAATTGCTGTCAGTGGATCAGGCATTTGTGTGCGCAGAGCCACTCAACTTTGCAAACGCACAAAGTGTTTTTAGTGAGGAAACAAGGCGACACGGTATTTGGTAATAGAGAACCGCTAAGCGCTTTCCCAGCAGCCTCGTGGGAGGAGCTAGTATGCAAATGAGCCCTTGTAACTTTCCAAGAATGCTTACGGAGGCACGAAACCCCTGCTCCAAGCCCCAGGTGCTCAAGGTTTGCACTCCGCTGGCTGACCTGGGAGCCGGTGGGGGATGAAGAAATCTATGAACCAGAGGACTTAAGAGGTGGTTCAGACCACAGATGGCCCACCCCCCATCAAGAGTTCCAGGTCCAGTGAAGGCCCACCTCCCATAGGTCAAAAATTTAAAGGTTTTTAAATCAATCTGATAAGTGCTTAAATAAGAGAGTTCAGCTTCAAAACACCTTGGAAGTTGGAGCTTGATTTTAGGATTCTGGGGCTCCTTGGAGTTCCATGTCGGAACATGGCAGCCCAAGCTCCATCTACCCCCCATCCCACAAGCAGCTGCCCCTTGACCACCCTGTAGGCCTTGGGAGATGTGCTGGAGCCCTGTTCTGTCCGTGGGTATCAGACCCTGGAAGTGGGCTCAGGGACATCTGAGTAGAGGGATTCCAGGATGGTGAATACCTGGAACATGGTCTAGAAGAAGGGGTATATGGCTTTCAGTCTCATAGACTCCTTGCAATGGGGTGGGAGATATGGCCAGAGGAGGGTCAGAGGCACCCTCTACGCCACAGGGCCAGGGCAGGTGTCTTTCTTTTTTCTATATATATGTAATTTTTAAATTAATTACTTATTTATTTTTGGCCACGTTGGGTCTTCATTGCTGCGTGCAGGCTTTCTCTAGGTGTGGCGAGCAGGGGCTACTCTTCGTTGAGATGTGTGGGCTTCTCGTTGAGTTGGCTTCTCTTATTGCGGAGCACAGGCTCTAGGCGCGCGGGCTTCAGTAGCTGTGGCTCGCGAGCTCTAGAGCGCAGGCTCGGTAGTTGTGGCGCAACGGGCTTAGTTGCTCCGTGGCATGTGGGATCTTCCCGGACCAGGGCTTGAACCCATGTCCCCTGCATTGGCAGGCAGATTCTTAACCACTGCGCTACCGGGGAAGCCCCTAGGTGTCTTTAGGTCTAAGAGTGGATACCAGCTCCTCAAGAGTACTTCTTTTGCACCTGCTGTGGACCCAGCACAAGGCTGAGCAAACGAAGACTATTAATTAAGCAACTGGTTGTTGATTGTGAGATAAACTAGTCCAACAAGACTGGATTGTCTCCAACCTAGAACATTCAACGACCACAAAATTCATTACAAAGAATTTCCAACGCTTGCCAAGCATCCACTCTGTCTGGGCATACCTCATTTCACTGCGCGCCACAGATATTACGGATTCTATGAGTTGAAGCTTCGTGGCAACCCTGCATTGTCAGATGGTGATTAGCATTTTCTAGCAATAAAGTATTTTTGAAGGGATACACAGTTTTTTAGACATAATGCTATTGCACACCTAACAGACTGCAGTGTAGCGTAAACATAACTTTAATATGCATTAGAAACCAAAAAATTCGTGTGACTTGCTTTTTCACTTTGTTGAGGCTGTCTGGAACCAAATCCACAGCATTTTCAAGGTCTGCCTGTATCTCCCTGGTACCAGTCTAAGTGTGATAAGGATGCACAAAGGCCTTAAGGAGTTCACATGCTACTGCTGTATGAAAACAGTACAGGTAAAGGAAACCTGACAAGCCAATACGCCCAGGTATGTGCAAGGTGCACAGAGAAAGGTTACCCGGTGATCCCATTATGATGTTGTAAAGCACTTACATGATGAGCACTCCACCCGCTCCACAGTTTCCTGATCTATGAAAGGGCTGTCAGACGGACTGAATGAGACACCGCACTGCATGAGAAATGCTTAGCGAAGAGCTCCTAGTGGTAAATTAACGTGGCTGCTGTTGTTGCTTTTTTGGTCTGGGAATTCAAGTGAGTGGTACCAGGCAGAAAAACCCCATCTACCAGGACTGCGTTTGAGATGTGTGCCTAAGTAATAAAGACAGGTAAGAAAGACCCAGAGTGTCGCAGGGCACAGAAATGCCATTCTTTGCCAGGCTTCCTTTTGGCTGGTCTATCATTCTACACTGTCTGCCCAATAAGCACTCATGTTTTAGTTGGTTTGGTACCTTTATCATTTCTTGAATGTTTCTTGAACGGTGAATTGGAAGGACCTAATGATGGAACCAGGAAAATGAAGTTAAATCGGCTGAGAACTTTGACCAGCACACCATCTGACCTGTGGTTTAGCCTGTGTTTTACAGTGGGGCTTAGAGAACACAATTCTTTGTAAAAGTAGTCAGCTCTCCCACCTGTTAATGTTCCAGTTATAACACAGAGCTCCAAACAAAAGAGAAGCAGATGAGAAGGTGAGTCCAAGTGCTCTTAGACAAAACATCCCAAAACATTCACATAGGCAATGTCTAGCATTGTGTGTATTTGTATAATAAATTGTCCTCAGCATATGTGGTCAGAACATTCATTAGTTGATCAGTGATGGTGGTGCCAGAGTCATATTTACCATTTAACATTTTCTCCCATGTGTCATACATAAATATTAAATACATGTTAAAAACTTCCAAATCTCCTGTATTCATGGTTCATCTGCATCATCACACTGGAAGAACTTTCTTTCTTTCTACAAGAAGTTTTTAAATAAGGAAAGTTGAATGTTTCTTTTAAGAATCTGTTTTTAAGTTCAGTGTTGCCTTTTCCTAAATGAATCAACCATCTCCATCTCTCTGATCGGAAAATTGGCTTCAGTCCCTGAAGTGAAAGGAGGGAAACAGATATTCACAAGGGTCGGCTAGAAGCAGCAAAAGGAGCTTCACTGGCCAAATTCTAAATTCTCAGGAAAGTTTATCAAATTGTCCTTGAAAACCCAGTTTTCATATCCTCCCCCCCCAACACTGAATAGCACTCAACAAATATCTGTGGAGTGGTTTTCAATGTATGGGCCCTGGACTAGACTCTGGGTGAACATCCATGAACGAGACAGACCAGTGGCCCTGTACACACACAGTTTTAATCTAGTACAGGGGTTAGCAAATTGGCATTTTTGTGGGCTTCATCAAATCAAAAGAGGGTGGTTTTTCTTTAATCTGAAATTTTCATATAAACATCACAATTTCCAGCTTCTCTTGTATAACTGGAAGTTATACTCGCTCCAACCCCACACTCTAACATGGCAGCAGGTGTCTGGAGCTGAGTGATACTGTCAGAGCCTGGCTCAAGCTCTCTATTTGGCCCCAGTCCCTGTATCTGTCCTTCTTTGCTTACTTCTCTCACCTGTCTAGCCCTCAGGGGCA